TGCACCTTTTTTAATTTTACATGCTGATATATGGGGACCTTTCTCTACCATTTCAATCTTAGGACACAAATATTTCCTAACTATAGTTGATGATTACACTAGGTATACTTAGGCCATATTCCTTAAAATAAGAATCAAATCAAAACTAGCATCATTCAGTTTGTGGCTTACCTTGAAAACCAATTCAATACCTCTCTCAAGTGTCTAAGATCAGATAATGGCAATGATTTTCCCTCTCTTTCTAATTTCCTCTTGTCAAAAGGTTTTATCCATCAAAATTCATGTGTTGAAACACCCTAACAAAATGGGGTGGTAGAGAGGAAACATCAACATAATCTTGAATGTTGATAGAACACTACTTTTTCACTCTCATGTCCCTCTCAATATGTGAAATTTTTGTGTCCAACATGTTGTTCCCATAATCAATAGATTACCTACTCCCTCCTCAAATATAAATGTATCGATGAATTATTTCATCTCCAACCACCCTTAATGATTCATTTGAAAGTTTTTTGTTGTTTAAGCTTTATTACTATAATTTAGACTCATATGACAAAATTTGACCCTAGAGCTATAAAATATATATTCCTTGGGTTTAAAGATGGAACCAAAGGATATATTATGTATGAATTACATAACCATAATGTTTATGTCTATAGGAATATGGTGTTTTATGAGAACTAAATCCTTTTCAAGCTTGTCCACCCACCCTAAAAAACCACTACTGACACTATTAATTTTCCTGCTCTTGATGAGCTTCATAATCATTCTAATCTTACCGGATCAGAAAGAGATCAACAGCCAGCAACACTTCGTGAGCTCCTAGTTCATCGATGTTGGAGAAGAGGATGGGGGTACCTATAAGGTACTCCGATGCTAAAGTAAAATTTAGTGGGAGAGAGAAAGCAAGTACAGAAAAGTGTAGAAAAAAGAATATCTGACCATCTAGTGAAAAAGGGTATTTATAAAGTGCCCCCAGTGTTGGGCCAATGGTTATTTGCATTGGGTTGGATCATTAAGTTTAATACAAATAACTGTCAGGGTCTACGTGGCGTAAGGAAGACCAACACGTGGTCTTCATCCTGGTCCAACTATTCCGTGAACTCCGAAAGGTGGAAGACCTGTTCTCTCGGACGCGGGTAGTTGGCTGAGGATGTGTCCCCACGTGGGGAGCATGTGGAGACCGTGGGGGAGACGCGTGAGAGCTCCCCATGTGAGATGATGAATTGGGCCTTCATTGGGCCCTCCCCGACGTGGAGTTGGGTTGGGCTGTGCTCGACGGTGGGCCATCCTCTGGCCCAGTCTAGAACAATTTCAATTCTATAGTTCTACTGATCTCTCTTATTCTATTGATGATAGTGATTCTCTCAAGTCACCCCAATCCCATATTATCAATTTCTAATATCAATCTAATAAAAGTAATCTTATTACTAGCCCTATCAACAATACATCCCTCAATTCCCCAATATTTCCTAATCTCAGTCCTCTAAACATATTTGATAATACTTTATTTAATTGTCATGTCCCCATCAATAGCTCAGACCCTACAACAACCATAGGTCTGCAACTTTCAACTAGTCCTCTTGATTGTACTAATTCTGACAACCAGTCTTTATCCGTTGAACATCCACCTGATCCCAATTATATGCCCAATAGTCATCCTGTCAATATCCATGTCCTTGATAACACTCCTTATGTACTGGGAAATGAACCTTCATATTTACCCCTATGACAATCCACTAGAGCTTCTAACCCTCCTAGTTATTTGGGAGACTATAATTGTTATAACATTTCTGATAGTCCTCCTATTACCAAGCCTTATAAACAACTTGTTGCATGTCCTATATCTTGTATTATCACATATGATAATTGTTCTCCATCATACAAGCATTATTTTTGTTTTATTTCATCTATTTTTGAGCCAAAGACCTTTGACTAAGCCATTAAACATGAGTGTTGGAAACATGCCATGGATGTTGAATTACATGCTCTTGTAGAGAACCAGACTTGGATTGTGGTTGACATGCCACCTGAAAAATATCTTATTGATTGTAAATGGGTATAAAAGGTGAAACACAAGGCAGATGGTTCCATTGAGAGGTACAAATCAAGGTTGGTTGCCAAGGGATATACTCAGATGGGAGACATTGACTATTTTGATACATTTTCACTTGTAGCCAAGGTCACTACAGTTAGATTATTATTGTCACTTGCAGCCGTTAAGGTTTTGAATTTGGAGCAATTGGATGTTAATAATGCATTTCTTCATGGTGACTTACATGAGGAGGTTTATATGACTCTTCCACCTGGTTGTCAGGATTCAATGATTCTAAAGTTTTCAAGCTATAAAAGTACTTGTATGGCTTAAAACAAGTCAACACACAATGGTATTCCGAACTCTCATCCTTTCTGACTTCCCTTGGCTTTCAACAATCACAAGTTGATTACTCCTTATATGTCAAATCTGATCAGCATACTTTCACTGCTTTGTTGGTATATTTAGATGATATTGTCCTGGCAGGTGATAGTATTCTTTAAATTCAAAAGGTTAAACATCTCATAGATCAATAGTTTAAGATCAAAGATCTTGGCCAGTTAAGATTTTTCTTAGGCTTTGAGTTTGCCAAATCCAAAACAAGTATCTTTCTCAATCAAAGGAAGTATACCCTTGAACTTTTAGAAGACACTTGTCTCCTTGCAGCTAAACCATCATTTGTTCCTTTTGATCCAAATCTCAAGCTTTCAGCCACTGAGAGGAAACCTTGTGATGATCCATCTTCCTACATAATATTAATAGGGTTATTGATTTACTTGACAAATTCAAGGCCTGGAATTTCATTTGTTATTCAGCACCTGAGCCAATATGTGTCTCATACTCGTTTGCCTCACTATCAAGAAGATACACACGTTCCCGGGTATCTGAAACCAGTCATTGCCAAAGGCATATTGTTTTTTGATTATAGTGATTTAAAGTAGTTTGGATTTGCTGATTCATATTGGACTTTATGCCCTTATATAAGGAAATCGGTCACCGGTTATTGTGTCATCTTAGGTTCATCTCTCTTGTGCTGGAAATCCAAGAAACAACACATTCTCTTTATGTCTTCAACTGAAGCAGAGTATCAAACATTAACTTCTTTCATGTGTGAGCTTTAATGGTTGCAATATTTATTTTGTGACTTTCTCATTACTTTTCCTTAACTTGCATTTGTCTATTGTGATTGCAAATCAGTTATTTATTTGGCAGATTATCCCACTTTCCATGAGAGAAGCAAACACATCGAGTTAGACTGTCATGCTGTGTGCGAGAAACTTCATCCTAAGCTCATTCATTTGTTACTTGTTTCTACTAATGCTCAACTAGCCGACGTGTTCACCAAACCGTTACATTCCCTTACTTTGAATTTCATTATGGATAAGTTGGATCTTTATAGTATACATAGTCTAACTTGAGGGATTAACTTATATTTTTTTATCTATTAGTATAGTGACATGTGTATAGATAGATTGTCACTAATTTATTTATTCTTTTCTTGTGTATATATGAGACGATGTACAAATTATTTAAAGTAATGAAGCATTCTGTTAATCAATTTTCTATTACAACTGTTTCTATTATTTTCAAATGTATTTCTGTTAATTATCTTCTTCATTGAGATGAAGATTCTTCCTGAGTTTTGCACCATGTTTCTATTATTTTCAGTTGCATTTCTGTTAATTATCTTCCTCATTGAGATGAAGATTCTTTCTGAATTTTTCACCATTGACAAGAGGTATTGTTAGCTTACCATAGTGCTGTCATTAATTATACTTTGACCCATCATTATCCACTAATCACGAAACACAAAATAAATCATATCTATAAAAAACCCTTAACAGTCTTCCAAATTGTGAAACAATTATAATATCCTTGCTATTTTTTGGTGAAAACTTAAATATCCTAGTATTATTTTCGTGTTCATAATATATTGATTCAATTTAGTTTTATTTTTTTAAGATAGTACGGCATATTGAATAAATTTACTTGTATTTAGTATGTTTTTTCATCACTATGAAGAGGAAATAGCCAAATCTACTATCTGGCAACTATTAAGACAAAAATAAGACATTAATATTAGATACCAATAATGGAGATAACTAATAAAGTATAAAATTGCAAAGATTCACAAGATAGAAATTGATCGTCTTTCGCAATGCGCCAAAATATGTGTGCTGGTAAAACATTATCCATCACATTCACACTTATGAGTGAAGATTTAATCATTGCGATTTCATTTGCCATTCAAATGTCATGTCAAAGTTATGGAAAATTATGAAATAAAATGAAATAGATAAAATAAATACTCGTTTGAATTATTTAAAATATAAACAATTAAATGTATCCTAAAAGAATGTATTTCATTCAATTTCATTGAATATCTTTGTTTTCTAGCCTCTAACTTGTAGTATAATAGATCATATGAAACTTCATTTTATTCCATCATAAAAATATCTAGAAATAGCACAATTATTTTATTTTATTTCATTTTATCACATTAGTGGCAATCTATTTTTGTTAATGATTCATCCATAACTATTATGTTCCCTTGCCTGATAATAAATACAGTTTATACAATTCACAAACCATTCTGTCTGCACACCCCAAAAGACACCTAAAAGATACACTATCTACACACTTAAAAGCTATCGGCTATTTTTATCGAGCAGAGTTATTGTCACATGCATAAAACTAAAGGCATGTTTGAATGAGCCATTTTGGAAGAGAGTATTTTGAAAGGTTAATCAAGTCTATATTTTGATATATATTTGAGATTTTGAAGGGTTAATCATCCTTAATAAACTCTCTTCCACGCTATTCCAAAATCCTCCATCCAAGCATATTTAAGTTACTGTCCTTAAGAAAACATGTAGTATAAAATCTCTTCAGCTAGTCTTTGTCCTAAAAGGAAATGATTATCCTTTTTGATTCACTTGTAGCAGTAGAAATGAATTCAGTTAACTCAGTCCCCTCCAACTGGTGCACGGCAGAAATAAGCTGTGACTGCTTTCAATTTTCCATTTAAATGAACTTTCTCCACCTGCAACCATTATTGAACAATTAGTTTGCTAGGGGGAAAAGCTACCAACCAAAATAATGATGTTATGCTGCCATATAGAGCATATAATAAGTTCCCCATCTGTAAATATATTTCATATAAAAGCACTAATGTCTAATGTAATGTAGTGCTGAGAACCATGGCGTCAGTGGCGGAGCCAGGTCCCTGCTCTAGGGGTGCAAAAATAAATAATAAATTCAAGATCAAACGAATTAATGGTGCAAATAAAAATTTTCAGGGGGTTCAAAGTGGTAGAGGGTTTTACTGATTTAACTAAACTTCCAAAATAAAGCATATTAAACAGACAAAAAGTTGAAAATACCTCTAGCGACCATGGCGGACAGGCAGATAGAGATAACTCTGCCAATTGGTTGAAATCAACATTTTTTGGAAGGAACATGATAACTCTGGAAGCAATCTCTTTAGCAGCATTAAACAAGGTATATCTACATAGAAGCAGCTTTTAGTTAAAATGGGAGGGAAATTTATGTACCTAACTATATATGCAGCAAAAATTGTCTTATAGTTTTATAGACATGACTAGAAGATAAAGTCAAAAGGAAAACTACTCCCTTCGGTCTTGAATATAAACAACAAAAATCATGTTTGTTGGTTTAAAATATAAGAAAATTTTAACTATGTTATATTTAATGATATTATTCTAAAAATATCCTTTGATTAATTAAGTTATTTTTTTATTTTTCAATTAACATTTTATTCTCATAAAACAAATTTTCCTTAGATATTAAAATGACTTTCTCAATTACTTTGAGAAAACTAAACTCGATTAACTACTTTTATTGAGGAGTGTGAAGTAGTTTATTTTTGCTTGTGTACAAGAACCAGAGGGACTGTAGAAAATATCAACCTACCCATCACACGGTCTAAGCATTGTCTTCATATCATAGGTCAAAACCTTAGCATAATCAGGTCCTCCCCAAGGTGGAGATAGGAAAACGGTGTCTGCCTGCAAGAAAATATAATTTGTCATCAACTATCCCTGAAGTATATGCTATTAGTATGATTCCGAAAATGACTTTCATCAATATTTTGAAAACACAATTTGCAAATAGAAATCACATGCAAGCCCCTCCTAACCTCAGGCATATGTATTTTAAATTTAATTAGAAGGGCAGGGGAAGTAAGGGTTTGATCTTGGAGACCTTGACTATTTGGTCAAAGAGGCAAACATATGAAACTAAAATCAATCATACTAAAAGAAGTATAAGCTATTATGAAGAATGGGGCAATAATGGTGTTTGTTAGCAAATGTATTTAACACGTTTTAACTCTGAAGTTTTAGAATTGTAGATCAGATTATAAATAGGTAGGAAGCAAGGAAACACTTGGTTATCAATAATCAGTAGCATCTTATTTGCATCGTCTTGCCTCCTAACTTGGCTGAATAGATAGAGCAGAATGAACAGAATTAGTCATGGCAAGAAACAAATGAGGATAAAAGGTGTCACCTAAGCAACAGTGCATAACATAAGCATCACCTAGTTTTGGTATAAAGCTAGGCAGAGGCAAGAGATCATAATTAGACAGATAAGGATGGGACAAAAATCTGAAATTATGTTTTTGCATTTCTAATGTTGCCAATACTTTTAAAAAAAATACAAAATATATGCTGCACAACTAAAACATATCAATTATATCATCAACTCCGTTGTGCAAAACAGAAAAACATGTAAAAAGAAAACTTCAGTACCTTTAACTTTGGTGCCAAGAGGAAGAAATCACCCATTATGAAGTCAATTTGATCATCCACCCTATAAATAGAAGCATTATGCCTAGCATAATCAATCTTCAATGGATCAATATCGATTGCAATCACAGTTCTGCACCTGTAATATCAAATAATTGATTGCCATTAATAGAATTAAAAATTATTTTCAAATAACTTTTGCAGAGGAAGACTCAATTATTTGACCAATATAACAATATTATAGCTACAAAATAGGTTAGTTATCTTGAATATCGTTTTATGGTGAAACTACATCAAGGATCCAACATGAATCACTTGTCTACATAAAACAAGAAATTTTGTTTTTTATCCGGTGCAATTAAAATTTATATGAAATGAATAGTGGCAATTACTAGACTGAAATAAAGTGGAATATAATACATAAGTAAACTGAAGACAAGAATGAGGCAATATATGAATATATCCTATTATTGTTCACCACAAATATTTGGAGACTATGGCACCTATAACCACATATTTATGCATAAACTATTATGATTGCTCACAAAATGGTGCCATAGTTAATCAGGTAAAACATGAAGAGTGTTGTGGCAGCCATAAACTATCCTTTGAGAACACAAAGGTACTCAGATAGGTTGATATCATCATGCTGAATCCAAAGCAACTTGGAACACAAGGAGGTATTGTGTAAACATGCGAGCATAACAAGAAACTCAAGAACATGTTAACTGTTTCTCCCTTGCTATGTTATTGTGTTATTATTCAAGTTGATATGTACATTTAATAATCTTAACCAACCAAGTGTTAATTTTTTGTTCTTGAAAAATTTCAAATCTTTCGGAGTTTGATGAATACAATACAACTACTATATATTATCCAGGACAGTAAACAAAAACCATATGAATTTATCACCTATGGTGCATGACTAATTAATACACACTACTAACCGTTGTGCAAATTGGATAGCATTCCCACCAACGCCGGTGAAACAGTCAATTACTGTGCCGCCTGCACAACGGGATGCTTGATAATGAGCAATAACCTCAGGAGTGACAGAAAACCATCCTTCCTCATCCATTTTTACACCATCATCAAATCTAGAGAATAAAATATACCTCTGACACCAATATTTTTCAATGATTGCAGAATAAGCTTCGGGCATTTTTTGAAGTTGGAGATCTGTAAAATGAAAAATGTTTATTACAAGGATATTGCTGTCAACTTTGAACAATATATTGCAACTAGTCAACAAAATCTATATGCAGGCAATAATATCTACTATCTAGTATTACATTGGCATACTAGTTTTTATCAATCATACAAACAACTACCCAATATTCTACCGATTTAACTACTACAACAGCTTTAGTAATAAAAAAATTACTACAACAGCAAAGTACTAATTTAAGCATCTATCAGGTATCAAAAGTTATATGCATTTGACTCAAAGTACTATCGTAAACTTGGAACCAATTAGCTTAAAGATTCAGTAGAATAGCAACATATTGCAGAAGCCACACATGCGGTAGAAGCAGTTTCCAATAATAAAGCATTTATCTCAAACCTTCAGTTTCATAATCGAATTTCTTCTGCCTGGGTTTTCTGTTCACTTTCTTTTTCTGTTTTGACATGAAAGGATCAGATTTACTATCCAATCCAGGCGTATCGATTACCATGTTTTCCATTGGTGTGTGGTCGACCTCTGATGTTGCTTGACTGCAACGATCATTTGAGCTGCAAAACATATAAGTTGTTAGGAAAGTTCATAAATCTACATAATCGGAAAGGTTAGTGCAGACATCCATTTTCATTTTCTTCTTAGAACCATAAACCATTCATTGGCCTGCACTTACAAGCTTAAGGTTTTGAGGAATTTGGTTTACAACATCACATCAGAGCCTCTTGGCTTTTATTCGTTCCAATGATCTTTCAAAATAATAATAATAAGCTTTAGTGACTGGACCTATGCTACTTTGTTCAAGCTTAACACTCATATCATATAACAACATAAGCATTTGACATTTTCTGACTCTTTAATTTGTTTTTATATTTGAAAGGCTTTATCAAGCAAATGTATGGTAGCTGTCTAAGAAAACTTTGGTCCAGCACTTATATTGTTAGTTGCAAGCACGATAACATGTCAACAAAAAACTGCTTTAACTTGATATAATAATGACTATTTCATTTATGCTTGAAGTAAAACTAAAAGTTTAGAACATAAAATACCTAATGACATGATCCAAGGTATTCGGTACTGAGCAGCATGAAACTCCGTCGTTGCAACTACTTCTCTCAAGATTCTCATCTGAATGATGAAGACATTGGCCTTCACTATTGGTAGCAATGTCAGAGACCAAATTTCCAGCAGCAACTCCAATCTCAGCTGAATACTCTTCATGTTGCATTCCTAATAAGTTTTCTTCCACCATGGTTTCTTTAGTTGCTTTAATGCTGCTTTGTGTTTCACATTCCTCTGCTGACTTTAAAGCTTCACTATCATCTAATTCAGTACACTCACCAAATGCTAGATGCTCCATCCCTAGGGGTGGGTCCCATGTAGAAATGTCTGTTTTGACATTATAAAAGTATCTTTGCTTATAGAAAGTATCCCATAACACCATCCAATCTCCAAGTTCACCACAATCATTTGACCAATCATTTCTGTCACTTCCATTCCATTCCAAACTCATGGGAAGTGATTCTGATTCATTAGCTTGTGGCTGCCATGTGGCAGCACCATCATCATTGAAAACAGTCTCACAATCTGCAGTTTTGCAAACAATTGGTGAAATTTCTAAACATTCATTGTCAACTTCGCCCAATTCTATCCCACAAAAATTGACACCAGCATCCGTCAAATGGCTTCCGGCAGAGACTCCTGTATCCAAGGCACATGCAATTTTCAAATCAAAGTCACTATTCTGGACATCATTAGTTTCTGCAACTTTTATATTATTATTTCCCTCCTTAGAAATGCCATTAGCTAACCCAGCACAGCATGATGCATCATCTCCTTCATCAGAGAGACATTGGGCCATGTCAACCTCCACTTCACCATCACAGTAGGATTTTTCACTTTGGCCCAGCATTGATATACAAGATAAAGAACTGTTAGTTTTAGCATGAAATTTAGCAGGAGATATAACTTCCTCTGTGCTCACTTCATTTAGAGCTTCATCAATAGGGTTGTTACAAGTACGGGGATGCTTGGATCCTACACGCTTCTTTTTGCTTTTTACCAGTCCACATTTCTACAACAAGATAGAAACATATGGTTGATAGCAAATTTACAATCATATACGTAAGAGCAAAACATGAATGATAGAGGAGAAAAAGTGTTGACACTATTTCACAAAGCGAAGGACAGTAATTGTTTAGTAAAATTACAATTATGTCTTTTGGTGTGTTTTGAAGAACTTAGATGAGCTTATCTTATGTGGGCATAAACATTTGTGTAAGTATTTGAATAGCTTATAACATAACTTAATTAACTCTTTTGAACTTATTTTCATAAGCTCTCTAAAATAGCTTATAAAAACAGCTTATACAAAGTTTATCTAAACTCCATCCTCATTTCCAACTTGATTATAAAAACAATTAATACATATACACTTAATTAAGTAGTTTACCCATATACCACCTTGATAGTAATAGTTTAGACCGCCTATGTTATTAATATTATTGAATTTATTCACTGCAGAGGCAAATTATCAACTATATAGCTCAACAAAATCACATCTTAATTACTGTTAGTTCCATGTTTCTATGATTGGCTAAATTTTGGTAAAACATGATTTTGCACTGATGTCAAGCTGAATGTTATGACATCCATCTGCTGTCATGACAGAACTGCTGTCATGTGTTTTTAATCAGTATGTCATTACCAATGTCATGACATCGCTGTCTGATACAGCAGGAGCTGTGGTAACAGAACTGCTGTCATGTGTTTTAATCAGAATGTCATTACCAATGTCATGATATTACTGTCTGGTACAACAGGAGCTGATGACAGAACTGCTGTCATGTGGTTTAATCAGGATGTCATTACCAATGTCATGACATCGCTGTCTGGTACAGCAGGAGCTGCAGTTTATATCACTTGACAAAAGTGCTTTGGATATACCTCATCAGTATGTGCAGGCCAAAGAGATTTATTAGGAACAAAGTGCAGATTTAATTGGTGTTCATAAAAAAAGATCTTTGAGACTTTTTAGGAAACTATAATATACTTGTTTCTACAGTTGTGAAGAAGATTCTGCAGGAGTGTTCAGCAGGGTGAGTTTGGTCAGCTAAGAACAAAGTGTGTTGGATGTCATGTTGGATGTAGGGCACGTGCTTAGGTTTACTGTTATATTGCAAGAGGAAACTCAGGCTATACTTCAGGAAACCTGTTATGACTCCTTAGTTATCTCAGGCGAGATTCTAGTCAGGGTTGGGCATAACATGAAGCAGCTGTGACCTAATTTGACGGCACCTTGAATTATGGAAAGTGGTTTAACTTGGTTAAACCTAATGTTTGTTACTTGAATTATGGAAAGTGGTTTAACTTGGTTAAACCTAATGTTTGTTACTTTTGATCAGCCCAAACCCAGTCTGCAGTACTATTTAAGGAGGAGCAGAAGCAAGGGAAATCAAGCACTCACAACAAGAAAAACTTGAGTGTAAAATTAAGGTTCAGGGTTTGAGAGTCCCTTGTGCGTGATTTTGTAAGTCATCCTCTGTATCTCTTGATACATTGTGATAGACATATGTGTGAGTGAAGAAGTTTTGTTCTTCACGTGTGTTTAGTGTCTTAGGATACTTGTGAGCCAAGCAATCATCTGATGTATAATTGCATTGGACTAGTGTGTATGAACTGGTGTGTTCATTGTGTCACTCAAAGCTGTTAAGCAAGAGTGTGTGTCTCTTGATCAAAGTTGTGAAGCAAAATCAAGGTGTGTTTGAAGAATGTCTTCACATTGTAATTGTGTATTGGTATACATCACTGAGGTGATTGAGGGGGAGTGAGTGGGTATACTCAGTTCTAGTGGTCTCTAGGCTGAAATGTCATTGGATAGGTCTTAAGTGAAGAGTGCAAACGGGTTGTTTGACTCTGAATTAATTCTACTAATAGTTAATTTCCTCCCTGGCTTGATAGCTCCCAGATGTAGGTGAGGTTGCACCGAACTGAGTAAACAATTCATTGTGTTATTTATCTTTCAGCATTTACAATTCTGCACAATTTAAATGGTTAGATAAATAGTCTGTCTGTCTACTGATGTCACAACAGACGTCATGACATTGGTCATGACATTGGTACAATTTAAAGTAATTTAAATTGGTCATGGTTTGTCCTCGTCCTTGTTGGGCAGAGATCAATGTTCTTGAGACATTTGGTTCACTTGTCTAATGAATGAATCACTCAAGTAATTAGTATGTACTTGGTTTTATTTTTGGAAAAAATAAACTGTTTTTCTAATATTTTAAAATATGTAAGATATGTTGACTCAAAAATGTGAGTCTGGCTCATTGCTAAAGGGTGTGTTTGAATGGAGAGTTTTGGAAGCCTAACATGATAGAGGATCCTATCCTAGGGAGCTTAGAGTAACCCAACTTGAGCCAGTATTCTTATTGAGTCAAATGAGCATTATCACTCCTTAGACATTGAATCAATATGCAAACCTAATCTTCTATAAACTAAAACATATATCAGGAAACATCAGTTTAATCTATACATCTGGGTGCTACCTTGTTTGTCTCAAAGGAGAGAGGGAGACCCAATTCATTCATTTGTTTGTTCAGTTCCAAATCTTCGGGTACTATAATAATGTTACTCCGATCTACAAAAACATAAAAGAAAAACAATATGCAAACCATTCATTCATGAATCAGTTTTAGTTAAAACAAATAAATAAGATTAAACTATTAGTCCCTAGACTTTTATTGCATCTTCAATTTAGTCACTAAACTATATTAATTTACGGTACACGGTTAATTTGGTCCCAGAATGTGTAACAGTGTCATTATAATCCTTGAATGTATCAAAATTGCAAATACATGTTCAGGTGTCATTTTTTTTTGTAATTTAAGAGCTGAATTGACTAAGTAAGAAAATAAATTTGATGACCAAAATCACATAAGAACTAATTAAAGAGACATTTGAGGATGTTCTTACAATTTCAATACATTCAAAGACTATAATGACAATGCCAAGTACCAAAATGGTTGCGTTTATAATATTTCTTTTTTTCTCCTACTGTAATCAGTAGTCTCTAGATATATATAAAATCCATCAATTTAATCCAATCTAGTAAGAAAATAAGTATGTATTTGGTTCTGCCATGACGAGAATTGATTCGGAATGAATTGATTTTGGTTAAAAGTGAGTTTGATGTAAAGTATTTATCTTTGGATACATTTATCTAAAATGAGTTGAACAACGAATTCCAGTGTAAAAATCATGTATAAACTCAAAAGCTACAAAGTCTAACTTCAAATAGAATCAATTCTCCTTTAGAAGAACCAAACACCACAAAATCATTTCAAAATCAATCATAAACCTCTGGAATTGTTTTTGGCTCTTCCAAAAGCTAAACCAAACATACACTATATCAATTTAGTTAAAATTTGAGGTTATACAGTTTAGGAACTAAATAGGAGATAGTATCATAGCTTATAAGCAATATTGATGATTCAATCAATAATACAAAAAATGAGTGTTGAAATAAAGAATGAAAAAGCACTAGCCAGGAATTGGATTTGATTCGCGATTGTTGTGATGAGCTTCAGACGACGGTTTAACCTGGAAGCCATCATCCCTGTAAAAAAGATAATAAAGTAAAGAAACCCTAGTATTGTACATACAGAGAGAAGAAGAGAGAGTAAAAGAACACTACTGACCAGAGAAAGACTTCAGTAACACTGAAGAGAGAACCGAGGGAGTGGATAGCAGCGCCTTCATAGTCGGAGTCGGCGATCACCATATCGGAAACTGAAAGTGGAGTATACTCACTACCGTCTCCAACTACCTATATGAAAACGAAGCGCGCTGCTTTATGTAATTGAGTACTCTCTCTATATTTTCATCTTCTCGGGAATTCAAATAATTATGAAAGCGAATAATTATTAGACTTAATTTTACGCGAACCCCCTTTTTTGGGTTACATCACTGCTTAATTACCACCATAATTATTTACTAATCCAAATTAAAACTAATTTAACAATTTTTCATGCCCGCATATCTAATCATTTCATATTTTTTAAACATTAGACTTTACTATTGACTTGCATATATTAATTTATTTAAGGAAAATACAACAAAATTATCCTCCCTCCCTTTTAAAATAATTATCTGTTTCAAATTTTTTTTACATATATTAAAAAATATTATTATATTGTTATAAAATATTACACTTTTATTAAATTGTTCTTATTAATATTTTAAAAATAATACATATAATAATAATTAAATAATACAATTAGAAAAAAAGTTTAATTATATGCACTAACAGGATAAAATAGTTTTATACTGTCATCCAATAAAAAATCAACAGTTATGTCATTAAATTTTTTTTTTTAAATCAGCGTGATGTGGTGGAATTCATAGTCGTCATTGGTTGATAGTGTAAAAACAATTTATATTGTCCGTGCATGCCAATTAAATTCTTAGAAAAATAACAAATATCACTTGATTGAAAAGTGAGAATGACATTTATTTTGAAATAATTTTTTCTCTAAAGTGACTGTCATTTTGAAACGAAATGAGTATTACAAAATGAAGATAAAATTAAATGAATACACAATGTACATATTTTGACAAAAACTCTCGGAGCAAATGAATGTTTTCATTAATAAATAATTTTGAACCATTTCATCCATTTAAAACTATTAAATATGTCAATTTAAAACTTGCATAAAGAAACTTATAAAATAAACACTAGAAAACTAATATGTAGGGTTTAATGAAAGAACTTTCGACATCTTTTATCATTGTATGAGTTAGAACAATGAATAATGATTATTGCTCTTAATTTTATATTATCATTATAATAAGTTAAAAACTTAGACCCCTAATTTTCCCAAAGACTACCTTTGCCCGCATATCATATAAAAACAATAGGCTTAATTGCAACTTTGCTCCCCCTATTTTGTGTTTTTTTGAGTTTTGATCCACCCATTTTAAAAATCACGATTTTGGTCCCTTCTTTAGGTTTCAAGATTGATATTAGTCCCCTTGTCATTTTAAGTCATGTTTTAAATGAGGTGGCGCGTTGAATGCTGATGTGGCATTTCCATGTCAGTTAAAATGGTCTTTTTAATTTTAATATAATTTTCATGTCATTAACTTAAATATTATTTTATTTTCAAAAAATTAATAAAATAAAATTTAAATAAAAAAACCCCATTAATATGAATATTATTTCATTTTCATCTTCAATTGTAACTCTGTTCTTATAACAAATAAAAAACCTCATTTCTTCACGAACGAATGAAACCGCAAACCCAGTTCTTCTTCCCATTGTAACCCATTTTCATCTTCTCATTTCTTCAAACCCAGTTCTATACCAAATCGCAGCTCGCTTCAAATCAAACTGCAGCTCGTTTCCCGTCGTCTCTGAAATGGCAAACTGAAGTTACGTGTCGAGGTATGTTTCATAACTCACCTCTGAATACAAAAATCCTAAGCATGCAAATGGCGTTTGTGTTCTGTCATAGCATATGAATTGTTAATACCAACTCCCGGTTTTATCTATGGTTTAATTCAGAAACTGTCGTTTGTGTTTTGTAGGCCCTCTGATACCGAAGCTATCAGATTTAGAGTACACCATAGGGGACATTTAATTCAGAATCCAGTTCTGTTGTATGTTGATGGGCTTGTAAGTGAAATGAATTGGGATTGGGATGTGGACTTGATGTCCTACATGCAAATTGAAGATTTGATCAAGAGTGAGGGGTATCATAATATAAAGTGTTTATGGTATTGGAATCCTAATTTTTCCTTTTCTCATGGACTTCGGCCTCTTAACAGTGATAATGATGTCTTAAGGTTAATGGAGGATGTTAGAGGATTTAAGGTAGTTGATCTTTATGTTGAACACAAAGTTGAAGAAATAAGTATTGAGGGTGTTATTTTTGAGGAGGATAATGGTGAAAAAGGCAATGGTGAAGGAGCAAACGATGAAGGAGCAAATGATAAAGTTAATGTCGAGGGAGCAAATGATGAAGTTAATGTCGAGGGAGCAAACAGTGAAGTTAATGTCGAGGGAGCAAATGATGAAGTTAATATTGAGGGAGCAAATGATGAAGTTAATGTTGAGGGAGCAAATGATGAAGTTAATGTTGAGGGAGAAAATGATGAAGTTAATATTGAGGGAGCAAACGATGAAGTTAATGTCGATGGAGCAAACGATGAAGAGGTTAGTGTTGATGGAGTAGATGAAGAGGTTAGCGTTAATGTTGATGACGTAGATGACGAGAGTGGAACAGATCCAAATTGTAGCATGGGCAGTAAGTATGATGAGGAAGAGGATGAAGATTTGGAAGATGAAATTGATGTGATGAATTTAGGTGTTGATGCTAGTATAAATTGGAAGACCGTTTTACCTAATGCAGAAAAACCTTCAAATTTGGATAATAATTCTGAGAATGGTAGTGATTCAGATGTGCTTCAAACTCCACCCGGTAGTGATGCTGAATGTGATACAACAAAGTTTCCAATCTTTAGGGAACCCACAAAACTTGAAGTAAGGATGATGTTCAAGGATAAACAACAAATCAAATATGTCATAAAGGAGTATGCAATGGAGAACAAGAAGAATCTTATATTTAAGAAAAATGACAAGAATATAATGGTTGTCAAGTGTGTAGATGGTTGTCCATTTCATATTAGGTTTAGTATGAGGACTACCAATCAATATTGGAAACTTGTTAGCTTGACTGATCGTCATGGCTGTCACAGGACAGCCAAAAATAGACAAGCAAAAACGGATTGGTTGGGTCGCTAATTTGTGTACACCATAAGACACACTCCTGAAATAAAAACCAAAGGGCTGATTGCAGAAGTTATTAAGAAGTGGGGGTGAAGTTGTCAAAGGATCAAGCTTATAGAGCAAAGAAAAAGGCAATAGAATTGATTCAAGGTGTTGGTCGTGAACAATTCACACATCTTAGAAGCTATGGTGAGGAGTTGTTAAAGTCAAATCCAAACTCCACTGTTAAAATTAAGTGTGTTGGTTCAGATGGTGGTCATGTCTTTGAAAGAATATATGTATGCTTAGAAGCTTGTAAGGCAGCGTTTGCAATGACGTGTAGGCCTATAATAAGGCTGGATTCTTGTTTTCTTAAAGGGGATTTTGGAGGTCAGTTAATAGGTGTTGTTGGTAAGCATGGAAATAACAAGATTTATCCAATCGCTTATGCTGTAGTGGAAGCTGAAAAAAGACTCATGGAAATGGATCCTTAATTTGTTATTAGAAGACTTGCAATCTATACAAGACAACAAATATGGATTATATCAGATCAACAGAAGGTTAGTTTTATAGTGCTATTATTTGTTACAATGTTGTTGACATGTTATTTGTTAGTTGACAGTAGTTAGATAATGGGAAAGTAGTTAGATAACTGGTTGACAGTAGTTAGAACTTGCAATTAGGTACTTATATGGAAATGTAGAAGTAGCACAGTATGCAAATGGAGACACAGTATGCAAGTGGAAACTTGCAAATATAACATAAGTATGTTCCAAAATTTAAAGGATACTGCTGCTGAATTTAAGAATGCTATTAGAATGCTAGTGGGATGCCATAGAATGCTAGAATTTAAAGGATAAAAAATCAATCTGTTCCAAAATTTGAACATTGAGGTTTGCTGAAAAAATCATGTATTTTTCCATCTTTTATTATTGGAACTTGGCTAGAATGTTAGTCCTTATAATTGGTACTTATATGCTGCTCATAGTTGATTTGGTACTTATAATTTGGTACTTATATACTTACAAACGAACGTGTAAAGGGAAGCGAGCTGCGGATAGAGTGATTCCTAAAGGTGGCAACAAAAAATATAAAAAAAAGGGTGACAAGTCGGGCAAGGAAGCGGGAGAAACTGTTGTAGACGGAGGGTCACAAGCGCCGCCACCAACCCAATAATAGTTCTATGTTTTGCTTTACTTTTTGTGATGCTGCTATGGCATATGTTATGACCAAAAAAACTCAATGTTTTTTGTTAAAATATGTTGTCTTTAATGTTGTCGTCAATGTAATGAAGTGTATACATTCACTGTTAATTGAAAATGAATGAATTTCTGTTGCAACTGCTGTTATAATTGATCCATTATAATTGAACCATTATAATTGAACTGCTGTTATGTTATGAAATGAATGAATTTCTGTTGCAATTGCTGTTATAATTGATCCATTATAATTGAACCAACAGGTTTTTGATCCATTATAATTGAATTGCTGTTATGAAGTGTATACATTCACTGTTAATTGAACTTCTATTGCAAGAGCCAAAGCACATAACGTATACATTCACTGTGAATTGAAAATGAATGAATTTTTGATAATTTAACATTTTGATGTATCACATAAAGAATATCAGTGATCCTATTGCAATATTATGGTGTTTATCTTGGTGTTTCATGAATAATTCTCTGAAATAGTATTATGATATCAGCCAAAACAATTTTGTTAACATGTTAACACTCTTTAATTTTCACAACTACCTTTTAGTTACAATTTACTGCTTGTTATTATGTGTACAGCTTGTGTGCACCTTCAATTGTTGAGTTAGTACAGTCTGATATGGCCTCTTTAGTTACAATTTTGTACTATTTATATTCTATAACATTGTGAGATGTAACACTTTTGCATATGACACTGATATGGCCTATGGAGTTGCTTCTTGCATCTAGGTTTTTTTTTGTTCTTTGTGCTTAGAGTTTTGCCAAAATGCTTCATGTGGTGCTAGGTAGGGCCTAAAAGGG